GAATTTCAAGCCACTTCTAAGCCGACTCTCGTGAGCTTTAAGTTAAGATAGCTGACCTGTGTAGCATATCTATTTTCAGGAAGGAAAAGGCTTAGCTCTGGCTGGATTCACCAGTTGGTTTATATGGCGCTCGGCATATTTAACACGAGTCTTGAGCTGGAGGAATAGATTCTATGTGGCGATTAACTGGGCTACAACTTTTGTGTTCGGGCGTGATATAACCAGAATCTAGATTCGACATGGAAAGCAAGATACTTAGTAGGATGGACAATGCTACTAGGTGATTCTGGTGGCACCGTGGCAATGACCGAACTGCAGTGGCACTGATCATGTGGCTGCGAGTGCTGTGATGGAGTAGGTTGGATTCAATGGGTGATTGATGGCAGGAGTGGCGGTTGAACCACTCCCATGGGGGGGGAAAAAAAGAAAAAAAAAGAAAAAAAGAAAAAACTACAATACATGATGTGGAAAATGATATGATTGCCATGTCATTATGTGAACTAGAGTTTCGGGGTATTACTTGGTGACCTACATTCTACTTTGACTATGGTCATGTCTAGGGCCAAATTTCTGTACGTGCATTTTAGTGATTGAATAAGTGGTTTACATGACATATTGTGGCCATTTTATATTGTGACTTGAGCTCTTACAAATCTATGAATCATATTCACTCATCACTTGAGTGAATTGTTCACCTTGCAATTCTCTTGGCAATGCGACCACCATGTTCCATTAAATCTTGATTTCTAACGTTGGACGTTATTTCTTATCAGAAGTTTTAAAGAAACGTATATCATGTTACATTCCTGACCAAGTTATGCTCAAATTCTTCTTCTTCCTCTTCTTCTTCTTCTTTTTAATCCAAACATACAAGTAGGTTCAAAATTTCGTTAAAATACACAAACCCAAGCAAATTGCAAATACACGCACAAGTTCCAACCGAGCAGTTCCAATTTCAAGAACAAAACTAGAGCTTGTTCATATTGGAGTTTTGGGTCTGTGGTAAAATAAATACATGAAAAATGGAAAATTAAAACCAGTGTACAATTCCAATTTTGAGTAAATACGGGAATTATATTCCATCAAACGAAATTGCCTAACAAGTTTCAGCCTGTCTCGGTTAATATGCAGAATAGGATTATCATAGGCACAACCTATCTGCAAAACATTCTATTGAGGTTTGTACTTTGTATGACAGGTAACAAGTCATGGCACCACCCAGCTTGAAGCCTTGAACCTACTACGCAACCAGCTTGAAGTCTTGAACTTATGCAAGATTACAACTCCAACTGCAAGGATTCAGACTTTCCGAAGCCAACTGAAAGACTAGGACCATAAAGCTGCAGCTCCAAGGCCATCTGTGACTCTTGAACTACCCAACTTCGCGGCAATGTCATCCCTTAGTTCAATCTCACCTGGGAATCTTCCCTCCTTCAGCTTAGAGAAAACCTGAAATATACAAGAGCACAGAAGCTGCAGTCAATCATATGCACCATCAAAGAAAACCATTATTGAAAAGGCCAACACATGTATTCACCAAACAAAATAACTGAATAGCAATGAAATTCTAGTTCAAAGCACACATATGGCAAAACAAACGATTCACCCACCAATTCATCGTTGAGGAAAACTTCAAAAGCACCAGTGCCTTGCAGGAAGGACTGCAATGCATTGCCAAGAAGCCAAGTGGATGCGATGGTCCCAAATCTATTTGCACGCAGAGAGTAATACCAAGGAGGGGGTGTCATAATCCCCAACATTGGAAAAATGTGCTCGCCCGCCATTACTATCCCAAAAACTCCAACTTGAGCAACGGGAACCAACTTGCTGAGCACACGCTTTGGAAGGGGTGGGGGGTGATTCGAAAGAACGACATGAATTCCAGGAAAAGAAGACTCCAACATCTTCGTTATTGTTACTGCATTCCCCCTACCAAAACCAAACTCTACTCATAAGTAAACATAGCTCAATTTTTTTTTTCTTCCCATGATTCAATCTAACATGTGAATGGCAAACCAAGTAGCACATAACATATCTCTTTTGGAACACAAATTGGGAGCTAACAGATAAATCAAGAGCATTTAATGGGTTGGATGACAAACCCCAGGATCAGAATAACATTCCAATTTCTAATAGCTGTTCAAATTGATCTTTTATCATCTCACATCATAAACACAATATATACATGCCAAATTCTATGAAGCAGGTGAATATAATAATTTGACATAAAATGAAAGACCCAATGCGAGAAAGGCAGAAAATAAGTAAGACAAGTACTTGTAAGAGCAAGAGGTGCAGAAACTAATCTTGACTGTGCTGCCGGCTCCGAGTCCAACAGCGCTTGGTTTCTGAAATTCAATACAAATCAAATCAGAGCATGAACGAAAAGAGGGTATCAATTTTGGAAAACAGAAAATTAGTTTGAAGTACCTGTGAGGGGAAGTCTAGGGTTTCTTTGGCAACTGGTGATGGTTGGTGTTGAAGGTGGTGATGGTGATGGTGATGGTGGGGAGGCTTATGGGGCGGAGGTGGAGATGGAGCGAAGAGGTTTAGGAGGAATCTGTGCGCGATCCATTGCTAGAGTTTACAGAGCACGGAACGACGGAGAGAGAGAGTGTGTGTGCGCGTGTGTGTGTTGGAGACGAAAATGGTTATTCTTCTGTTGTAGTCTTTTAGTTTGACTCGACTGGTTGGTTGGGATAATTTGGGCTCAGACCATTCTGGGGAGCCCAATAATGTTGGGCTTCTGGCCCAGAACTAATCCACGCATGGAAATATGGGGTAAATTAACGATAGTCATTCGTCGGTACCCACAAATTATCTCTAGGCACCCAATTTTCTCTAGCCACTTGGGTTGACATTTCAAGAAAATGAAATTTGCTTTGATTAGTCAAAACACATTTACAATTATACCAAAAACTAAAGAAATGTAACTAACAATGTGGATATGGTCAATGGAAGATGAGATGCAGTGTAATTATCCCCTATATACCATGCACGGGTTTGCATTAACATTAAGCAAACTAATTTTTTAATATATAAAAGCGATGTTAGAGGAAGGGTAAAGCGAAGGAAGGAATTCAAATTAAATGATAACTGTTCTTAATCATTTGAGCTACAAGAATCAAGTACAATTCAAATATTTTTAACAACAATTTAAGAATTCTTAGCCCTTTTTCTTATTCAATAAAAAAACAATGCTTGGAATTAGAATCTTCTTCAATAAAATGAAGAGAGAATATAATTAGAACATTGACCAATTTCTTATATAGATAATATTGTTGAGTAATTTTTGTGTTATAATATGTATGGATGTTATTATTGATTTGTAATATTATGTGGTTATTTCCTTGTTACACGTTTTTTATGATACAAACAATAGTCTAAATTACAACATTCTGTTTGGATGAGGAAAAATAACTCGGAATTTAGTTAAAAGTCGGGAATTTAAGACGAGAAATTGACAATTCCCTTGTTTGGTAACTTAAGCTCTAAATTTATTAAATGAAGCGCATAAAAAATTATGAAAAGAGTTCTTCTTGAGTTATACGTCCTCTACATCAAATCAAATGTTGAAGGCACTCCCAATTGAGAAAAAAAAAAGTATGTTGGTGATGTTTATTTCATGTGGGGAGTGATTTGGTTTGCTAATATCCTCTTATTTTTTAGACCAATAACATGCTTTGTTTTTTTTTTTTTTTTTTTTCAATAAGTTGACTTATGTAGTTCATCAAATAATATATTATTTTCTACTTCGTGGAATACCTTCTATGTATGTTATCAGTTTTTTTTTTTTTGGGACAGAAATGTGAGTTATGAGTTAGAAATTGATTTTTTGAAATATTTAATTTTTGTCATTACAATTTACATGAGCTATAAAAATTTGCAATTTATGTCATTTACAAAATTCGACATATATAAATCCAAACAGTGAAGTCTTAGGGCAAAAAGATGATTTTTCTACATACACTATTAAAGTGCTATAAGAATTTGAACTTAAGACCACTCATTCGCACAATAAACCCATGTTTTCCTCGGCTAGACTCGCCGCCGTACCATGTTATTATCACTGATTTTGATAGATGTGGTAACCAACTTAATATACCAATATTGAAATGGGAATGCTAGCAACCTTCTCTCTAACCTTTTCCTTTGGACATTCTCAATTTTTTGCTTGACATATGTCATTCTCCTTACACTTAAAACAATGTCATTAATATATTATACAAACTAACTTTTGCTTTCCAAGTTCACACTTATTAAATGTCAATTTACCCCAAAAAATTTCACAACTTTCTTACCATCTTATTAAATTTCTTTTAAAGTCAATTATTTTTTTCAAAGAAAATGTTTGCTTTTAAAAAAAAGAGGAAATTTAAAAATAAAAAAAGTCTAAACTTGACGTAAAAAAAGAGAGAGGACATTTTCTCTTTTTTTAAAAGCAAACATTTTCTTAAATAAAAAAAATTGTCGTTAAAAAAAAACTTAATAAGATGGTAAGAAAGTTGTGAATTTTTTTTTTGGATAAATTGAATACATTTAATAAGGGTAAACTTGGAAAACAAAAGTTAGCTTGTATAATACATTAATAACATTGTTTTAATTGTAAGAAGAATGACACATCTCAAGCAAAAAAGGGAGAAGATCTAAAAAAGAAGGTTAGAAAAAAGGTTACTAGCATTCCTCGTATTGAAAAACAAAAAATAAATAAACCAAGGTGGTTGGTGTAAGTGGTTCGACACTCTCATTCCTTAAGAGAATGTCAGGGGTTCGATCCCTGCTCTCATATGGAGTCACCACTTTAGCCAGCACTTTACCCCTTACGGGCCGACTCAGTCTGAGCAGGGATTAGTCTGAGTTGTGGTTAAGACTTAAAGGTGTTACCCATAGTTGGAGCCCATCCAAGACCACCTCGTGGTTCAGACCAAAAATAAAAAATAAAAAACAAAAAGTAAATACAACTGTTACTTCCCAATCCTCACCTTTTCGGTTTTTGGCGCCTCGTTCTCTCTTCTTGGTCGTTGAAACGTCAACTAAAATTCTGCGAATGGTGGCTCAAAATGTAAAACAGAAGAAAATTAAACATAAAAAACCGTCGGATTGGAACCTGAAGCTTGAGCTTGAAGACAGCGAAGAGTGTGAGTCTCCATTAAATTCAACACTCAGAGTTTGACTTTGGCTCCTATTTCCCCAACCAAAACTGCGAACGCGGCAATGCAATGACGTCATCGTCGTCGTATTCCTCCTCCGTCTCATCGGCGGTAGACTCAATCCACACCTCGCTCGCCGACCTCTGCGCCCCTCACTACCACCAATCTCCCTTTGACCTTCCTCGTCGCTTCTCCGGCTTCGCTAACCGCCTCCAGCTGTCACTCACTCACCTCACCCGCGCCACGTCATCGCTCGACGCCCTCCCTCCCTCCGTGCACACCGCCCTCAAAGGAATTGCCGCCGACCTCGCCGCCGCGCTCGAAACGTTGTCGTTTTACAGAACCAAGGGGAAGATCTCCGTCCTCATCAACTGCCTCTCCCTCTGCGATTCCCTCGCCGACCGTACGGTCGCCATATCCGGATGGCTTGCCCTCCTCGACCTCGCCATTCAGGACCTGAACCTCCCCGATCTTCGGAAGAAGATCGCCGATCTCTCCAGAGATATGAAGCAAGCTCACTTCAAAGTAAGTGAAGTCAATTCGTCTTTGAGTTTGATTCAATTATTCTGAATTTTATTTTGAAATTGGGGATTTTGATTTTCTAGGTTACGGAGAGGGAAGAAAGAGTTCATCATACACTACAGAAAGAAGGACGAACGACTCAATCGAAGACGAGCAAAGCAGTGGAGAGCGCGATAATCATGGACTTGGCTCGAGCGCTCGGCATCGACCCTGAGAATCACGACGAGCTATCCAAACAGATCAGGCTTCTCAAAAACGACGTCGCCGGGTCCAATTCGGTGTCGGAACGACGGATTCTGGTGTCGTTGGAGAGGATTGTAGATAACTGGGCCATACGGCCCAATATATCGGCTTGGAAAGCTGGGATAGAGTTCGAAGACGACGACGTTCACATTTCGCCGTTTAAGAATTTTATGTGTCCGTTGACGAAGGAGGTGATGAGGTACCCAGTGGTGCTCCAATCGTCGCAAACTTACGAGCGGACCGCCATTAACTACTGGTTCGAGCGGTGTCTGGAGGACGGTCGAGATCCGACTTGCCCGGTCACAGGTGAAGTTCTCGGGTCACTGGAGATGAAGCCGAACATTGGACTTGCTGGGGCTATTGAGGAGTGGGTCAACAGGAATGTTGAGATTCTGGTGAAGATTTCAGTTCAACATCTTAGCAAAGAGCCTCCTGTGGTGGATTGTTTGGAGGGAGTGTTGGATAATGTGTATAATATCTCAGAGGAATACCCCAGTTGTAGGTATAAAGTTAGGAATGCTGGGGTTCTTGTGCTCATTGTTAAGATGCTCAGAAACAGTTCCAAGAGTATTGGGACACATTTGAGAAGCAAAGCTCTCGTGGCTTTGCTTAGCATGGCCAAGGATGAAGAAAGCAAGGTGGGTTTTTTATTTCTTCACTTTCTCGAGTTTTTTGGCGCTTGTATGAATTTCAAGACCCAAACCAGTTCTTATTGATTATAGTCATCGATATGTGCACAAGAAAGTAGCTTAAGATTGTTTCTAAGTGAATAATAATTAGTGGGCTGAGAAGGGGAAGGTAGAAGGAACCAAAAGAACAAATTTTTGTGGTGATTTTAATCCTTGAGATGCTTTTCTTTAAATCATGGTATACTCTTTCATGCTGAAGTTTTTGCTCCACTATGCCTAATCACAGTTTCTCGTCATTGTATATAGCTTTTTGCATTTGATTTTTGTATCTAGTAGGATCTTGTGGTGTGTCATACATTTTGACAAGTTTCTGATAGAATGTGTTAAACATTACTAGAACATCATGCTTCAAGAGGGTATCACTAGATTGGCCATACATAGTCTTATCGGGAGCTCAGAGAAAGAGAAAGAGTATGCTGTGAAATTGTTACTTGAGTTCTCTAGTGACAAAGCTTGTTGCATTAAAATTGCAACAGAAAAAGGTGCGCTGGTTCTTCTCTCAAGCATGGCAGGAAACCTAGAGCATCCTGGTTTATCCAATCTAGCCGACAAGGTATTGAAGCAGATGGAAAAGGTGGAGGATAATGTTCAGTATTTAGCTGCGGCGGGGAGGTTTGAACCCTTGCTTACTCGACTTTGTGAAGGTATGCCTTCTTTTAGCTTTTACATGTCCTCCTGAAAATCATTACATTGTCGTGGATTACATATAAAAAATCAATTTTGCAAGTTTATTGTACAAAAATGGAATCAGAACAGGAGAGCTGGAGAGATCCATCCTTTTTTTAGCCTATAGACTGCACAGTGTATGGTGTGATTTACATTCACATGTTATTATGTAATCTAAAGTCTTTTTGTCAACAGGTTCTGACGATGTCAAAATTGAAATGGCATTTATGGTGGGAAATATGACCTTGACAAATAGCAGCAAGGAACAAATAGCTAGGCACGGTGCGAAAATACTAATTCAGATGCTATCTAAGCCAGAAGGAAGAGCAGCAAGCTTGCAAGCACTGTACAACTTGTCAGGTCTCGATGACAATGCAACCATCCTTGTAGATTCTGCTGTACTTCCCGCTCTTACAGATGTCCTTTTCAAAAACCAGGATACTTCGCCCGAACTGAAAGAATTGGCTGCATCAACAATGGCTAATATAGTATCAAATCCAGGGCACTGGGAATTGGCATCTGCTGACAAAGAAGGGCATCCTATGCAGTCAGAATCATTTATATATAGTCTTTTGAGGTTTTTACCTCTAGCATCCCCTCAATGCCAAATATCTATTCTCCATATCATCTATGGAATTGCTTCGTCCCCACAGGCATCAGGTTTGTTTCATTTAGTTTATGCATGAAATAATATTCTTTCATTAGTTATGGAATCATACCTTCCTATATATATCTTGTTATATCAATCTCTGCATTTAATTTGTGTTCACTGCTATGTAAGTTGGTGCTTTTATATTTTCCTAAATTTTATTTGTTTGAAAATGGAATCAGGAAAAAACGTTGTTGATGCAGTTAAACGAAATCCTATTATAATGACTGGGTTATATGTTTCCCAAAAAAGGCCAAATCCAACATATTACTGGAAAATTGGCTTTCCATAAATGACATTTAAAAGAAACAAAGAAGATGATCTCCATAATTGGCTTCTCAGAATAATTTGAAAAAACAACCTAAACCTCTATGCTGCAACAGCAGGAACAGGGCTCAAGTGAAGGATCTAATTTTTAACTTCAACATGACAGTGGTTACCTTTGTTTCTCTTCTCCTTTACATTGTTTCCTCTGGATCTTAAGTTCTATATCCAAAATCTAATTGTATAATTGTTGTGCTCTACTCTTGATGATATATACCTGTGTGGGCTTGCTGCTGATAATATCATAAAATCCAAATTCTAGGAAAATGTAAACCACTGTAGGTGAATTTATCTGCTGAGAATCGGTTTCTATTTTGTTGCTACATTTTATGGTTGTGAATTGTATGCATAAGAGTATCTCTCATAAAACTGAAACGCAGACAATTACCATGTTCTAACATTAGACCCGTGTTTTATTATTTCTATTGGCAGAGTCGGTAGCCTGTCATATAAAATCTGGGGAAGGGATTAAAACCATTTTACCATTCCTTGAACACCCAGAAGTTGAACACAGAATTCATGCTTTTAAGCTTACAAGACTCCTCTCAGAAAGATATGGTCAAGATATAGCTAATGAGCTAAGGCTTTCTACCAGGCTTCCCCTGTGCAGAGACAAACTCTTAGACCACCTTTCAACCGATAGTGAGAGATCCGATGCTGCATGCATACTTGCGAACCTTTCACTCTCCGAAGATGAAGTGAAAACACTCCTTGGAGTTGGTTTTCTAAAATGGACGATTACTACTCTAAAAAACCAGCGCCAAACTTCCAATGGGAGGATTTCACGGCCTGCATCAAGCATGTTGGAAGGTCTTCTTGGTCTTTTACTTCACATTACAAGGAACCTTGAGCCCCAAACTCTTGTTACATTCAAAGAGCAAAGCCTTATCACTGTCTTCCGAGAACATCTTGGTTATCCATCAAACCCAAGAGTGAAACAACTAGCTGCCCTTGGATTGAAAATCTTGTCCGAGTATGGAAGGTCACTAGCTGCTGTGGAATCAGAACGACCACCTCCCCATGGAACGCTCTTCTGAAGAACCTTCGACGTGCCCAATACACAATGCTCCATGTGAAGAAGACAGTCAGCTGTGCTTGCTAAAGAGCAACTCCATCAAACCCCTCGTTGATCTGCTTACAGACAGCAACACGAGTGTTCAGATTGCTGCAGTGGAGGCACTGTCCACTCTTGTAATAGATAACTCCAGCAGCTTCAAAAGAGCAGTGAACGAGCTTGAACAATTGGGCGTGAACGAAGCCGTGATTTCTCTTTTCATAGAAGTTCGTCCGGGGGAACTTCAAGAGAGAACAACCTGGATCATAGAGAGAATATTGAGAGTCGACAACCATAGACATTCTCTAAATCAGCCTCTGGTTTGGGCATTGGTGGAAGCCCTTAAGCATGGCAATGCCAACACAAAGAGACATGCTCAAGATGCTCTCACTAGTCTGAAACAGTTATCGGCGGTTAGCGGAAGGTCCTCGTATCAAACTAGGGCGCAGAGGTAGCCAATGACAGACATGGAATTTTTGTTGTAATTTTTAGTGAGTTTCTGTGCGTCTCAATTTGTAAATTTACTGTATAGTTGTGCTCTCAGTCTCTCAGTTTTGCATTCATTGTTGTAACTTGTAACTTGTAAGAAATCAATAGGGTGTTGAGAATTGCGAGCTGCCTGATTTTCATCTTCAGTTAAACTCAAGCTTGATTTTCATCTGCATTAAAATAACATAAAAGTAAAGTCTTGCTGCATTTTGGGAACTTTACAAGAAAAGTCTCGACAGCAAAGCAACCAAAAAGGAAAAAAAGCCAAAAGCTTGTTGCCGCCTCTGCTGAAAAGTCAGTATTTTCCATTCAATATAGCTCCCCACTAAGAAAAGAATAATCGAATAAAGTTTGAAACAAATACATAAATTCCATCGAATATTCTTTCATTTCCCAAAAAGATCACCAGAATTCCATTTTAAGAAAAACATAAACGAATGTTCACGTGTTGACATCAGATTTTCTTTCTCTACTCTTTCTTAAAGGTTAATTTCAATTTAGTATCATGAAGTCTCACCCTAAGGCATGTATGTTTGTTCTCGCACTCTTAATTTTAACACATATGTACCCTAATCTTTTTAATTTGTTACAATATAGTTTCGACGTTAACTTCATTGTCAAAAAATTTGTTAATTGTCTAGGTAGCAGGCCTGGGTCCCACCTATTCTACAAGTTTGGGTGGGAAGACACCAATTGCTAGAAAATACCCTTCAACTGACATTGAAAGAAACAAATAGGTGAGACCAAGCTTGCCATGTAGGTTATAAACTGAAATTTTGACGGTTAAGTTAACGACGGAATCATATTGCAAAAATTAAAAAGATTAGGGTACATAAGTGTTACAATTGAGAATGCAGGAGCAAACATACCTGCCTTAAAGGTGAGAATTCATAGTACTAAATTGAAACTAATCCTTTTCTTAACTATTAAAATATCACAAACTGCATTATGCATGTTCATATAAGAAATTTAATTTAAATACTTTTTTTTATTAATCAGAAAACGAATATTCGTACTTGAAATCTCTTCTCAACACACATATCGACATTCGAGTAAAACAACATTAAAATTATTAACATACTTTTAGTTAATTGCAGTATGACATACTTTTAGTGTTCCCTGCATTGCATTGCACGCATGCAGTTGAACATGAATAAACGAATCAATCAATCAATAAAGTTTTAGGATGTTGCAAAAACAAAACAATTAGGACGTTAGTCGGTGATTAGGTCGGCAAATTCATGGCTAATTCTGGAACATGTTGATTACAAGACACTGTTTGATGTGCAATTTTACCTTGAAGTTTAATCATATTGTCCCTCGTTTTCTTTTTTCTTATTGTTTGTCTTCCTAAAGCGAAAACCAGACTCATGTTTAAGCTGTAACAACATTTTACATGTTGGCTTTTCTAGAACCTCTGCATCAAAATTCAAAAGCATGGACCACAAATTCAAAGGTGGTCATTTGCCTGGTAAGTTCGAGGACCAATAGTTAGACCATTTCTCTTAATTAACGTTGTATATTTCTAGTCTATGCCTCTAGTCTAATCCCATTACTTATTTCATTTTTATGGTCAAACTTTGACTTTGCCTCAATAAAGAAAGGTTGCATACTACATTTCACATCATCTCCTTTTTGCTACAATTTTTTAATAATGTGGCAAATCTAGTCTTTATATTTTAATCCACCTTTTGGGTTTTGAGTTAAACCCAAACTCGTATGAGTTCGGGTTTGCGATAAAAAATTAAAATTATATGAACGAAAATGACTTTTTGCCTATTATTAATACCATATTGTGTACTAATTTCTGATCATGCATTATAAATTTGACATATAATTTCGTAGCATAATAAATGCGATACAAGAGAAGTACCAATAATTTGTTCACCCTACATTAAGGTCAATTTTTTAGGTCGGCCTGTGAACCACAATGGCGGTCTGAAAATACCTTAACATTTCATTTTCAACTCACTGCTGGAGACTGGCTTCATTTCCAACTCACTGTTGGAGAGTGGCTTCATTTTCAACTCACAAATCGACCTCAATTAACAGAAATTGAAAAATGGTGTCTCGGTTGGACTGAAATTTGAAAGGCACAAATTAAATGGTTCCTCATAAATAGCTTCCGATGATGGTTGATGAATCTGCAGACCAACAGGGAAAATTTGAACACAGTGAATATATAAATAAAATAATAATATTCGTACATTTATAGGTCCATCAAATCGTCAAGAAATATGAGAATAATTAATGATAGAGACTGTGAGGAGGAGTAGGTCCCGAATTGGAAAATGACTCTCTGTGGGACAACTTTGGAGAAATAGACCAGACAACCAAGTTGGTAAACAAAATTTGTGTTCTGGAAATATTAATTCGAGTTTGAAGTTTGTACCACCATGAACCCTAGCCCCTAGGCCTAGCTATACATACTATATTAATGCTTCACCTACAAAGGCAGGTGCTAATAATTGAACATACAACAAAGTCATGAAGCCTCTTTTTTTTGGTTTATATTCAAAGTACCAAACTTTTCAAACTCGTGTTGTTGGTGTTGCTCTTCTCAGTTTTTTGGTTTCTTTTCTTCAACGTTTTAACGATTGTTTTTTGTTGGGCCAAACATTTACATTTATAAATTATAGTCTCCGAAGCGTATACGCTGCCACCGATGGCTTCACTGTAGATCGGTCTGGCTTAAAAATAATAAAATCCCAATCAATTTAACACGTTATTATTGTGCAGACGATATTGTAAAAGAAAAAAAATGTATGAATGAATAATAGAAAATACAAAGAATCCGAACACCCGCAGAGGAAAAAATCTGTATATTTATATCGTTAGAGATTACGAATTTAGACATCATATTCAACCTTCACTAACAGGTGAGACAGTAATCTAGCAAAGGGAACATATTTTTGAAATCCCACTTACCAAAAGAAATAAATAATCCCAACGTGAACACTGTACTCGTTATTATTCATCTTTTCTGTTTTTTTTTCGTTATCTTTTTCTGGGAATGAGTGCAGCCAGACCTTGGCTTTAATATCTCTCTTGTTTTATTCACTGTCCCAATTCATTTCCGTATGATTCCTTTATAATTCAGAAATTTAAAAAGAAAGGCTCTTGTTGTAAAAAACAAAAAAACAAAAAAACAAAAACAAAAGATAAAAAGAAATTATTTTCATTTATGTTTTAGGATTAATTTTAGATATTAAAATATTTTATGTAATATAAATGCCCTTTCTCACTTTTTTCTTGATCATGTCAATTAATCTTGAAGGAAGTTGAGATTTCATCACAAAACCAATTGACAATAGGAGTAGCCCAACTTCTTATAACCTTTGTTATTTTTCTCAACTTTCCAATATGAGATATTTTTACCTTTACATTCTCACACGCCTCCGCACGTATGACGAATTATCAAGCCTAATACATGGATAACACATACCCCCAAACTAATTAGTAATGGAGAGTAACCATTCAACTTGAGAATCTCATTAAACTTTTCATCTCTTTTTAGTTTTCTGTTTAGGGAAGAAAGGAGAAAAGAGACGTAATGCCTTTTCTTTTTGTGTCTGCAAATGAATAATGCCCAAAAAATATGCCTTTTCTTTATGCGATCTACAAAGTTTTTTTTTTTTTTTTTTTTTGGGGTCAACGATCTACAAAGTATATGACTGAAACAATCAAGGGAAAGAAACTAGGCTTAATTATGTACATGCCCCCTGTGCTTTCCAACTTATCTCAGATTACCACCTGTGGTGGAAAACGTCTCAAAGTACCCCCTAACGTGCAAAAAACTGTCTCACGTTACCCTTTCCGTCAGCTTTTTTGAAGTTCCGTTACGAATGTTATTGTTCATCTCCCCCAAAATTCCAGAACAGTAGCCCCTCCCCTTTGTTACTGTTCATCGCTTATTTACCCTCCAAAACTCAGAAATTTCTCCTAACCAACACAACTAGCAGCAAGAACAACTCGAGAGGTTGAAAAATCATACCTGGATCGAAGAAAATGGTGCTCGGAATCGCCCGAACGAGCAATGGAGATTTTGGGTAAAAATCGGCCAATTTCTTGCTTTTTTCGGTGATCCAGACGACGGTTGGCAGCGGCTGAGATGTGAGGGTGGTAGAGGACAACGTGCTGGTTCTTTTGATATCCATGTCGTCGCTTGGGGTGGCCGGAGGAGGCGATGGCAGCCCAAAAACTGGTGCGATGAACAGTAACAAATGGGAGGAGCTGCTGTTCTGGAATTTTGGGGGAGATGAACAGTAACGTTCGTAACGGAACTTCAAAAAAACTGACGGAAAGGGTAACGTGAGACAGTTTTTTGCACGTTGGGGGGTACTTTGAGACGTTTTCCACCACAGGTGGTAATCTGAGATAAGTTGGAAAGCACAGGGGGCATGTACATAATTAAGCCAAAAAAGAATAAACGAGAACTTAAATTTTATCATGTTTGTTTAAATAGGCGTTTAGATTAAAAATAAAACTGAAAATCCGACCATGGTATTTTATTAGCACAATCGTGTGCCAAAAATAAACTATGACGTTTTTATAAAAATTATACTTTTCTAACCTTTATTAATTAGTGTTTTTCTTCCCTATGTGACAAAGCAAGCATCTAAATATATTATTTATATCTCTAATTTCATATTTGGGATCATACCCTCCGTATCTCTGGGATTTCAAGTTTTAATTTCGGTAGATGGGGCCTGAATGTTTTTGGGATTCTGACATGCAATTTTCTTTTCTCAGCAAAAAAACAACAAATCCGCGTTTTTAATAAATCAAGTGTCAGTGTCAATACGATAGTCATAATTTCAAATCTTTATCTTTATTAGTTTTCATAGCATCTGATCTGATTAACAAGAAGCCTTGTTATCACAAGAGTTGTTGATTTAGCAGCATCTGCCATCGAGATTTCAAATGTTGTATCATAGCATACATCAAAATTTATTCTGTAATGCGATGGCACGTACCACATCATTTGATAATTAAAATTTGTTAATATTCGCAAAGCTAAGAATGTGACAGATTTGTGTTAATAAGTTCCTTGCCCTATCAGCTGACTCGAATTACAAAAGTCATATGCCTCATTGAAAAGACTATGCATTCAATACTTGTTTGTGGATGAGACAAGCGTGATTCAATACATTTTTTCATTTTTCACACTTTCGGTTGCGCCCAGTGGCCAATCACTTTCTGCCAAGTGGGTTCTGTAAAATGCCTGAGAGCCATAAAAGTTGAAGGTGAAGCATGGCATGTCCCAGTTTCCATACCCTCTTCTCTTTAGAAAGATGCAAAGGTTCTTCTTGGGGCGGGCAGCCAATTAAAAAAGTTATTCTTTAACTAATATCTTCTGAATATCTGTCTTTTTATTTATTTATACAAATCATGGCCTTTTATTTATGGGTCACAGTTTTTTTACCATATTCATCCAATATATATATTAGTGAAATACAATTCGGAGTGGGCTGTACAATAGGTGTTCTTCAAATAAGCTTATTTGAGAGATCCCTCAATAGAAGCTCTCTGTATATTATATATATAACATATGTGTATAAATAATAGCAAAGTATATCCAACCCCCATTCCCCATTACTAACTGCGGAGAATTTTCAAAGCAGACCAGTGGGATTGGTAATTTCTTGACAGGCCTTTTTCATAGAAATGTTGAATGTTTGTTTTTTAGTATTTGTCATTCAAAGAAAGAAGGGAAAAAAAAAGAAGAAGAAAAGAAGAAAAATGCTTTACTTTCATTCCATGCTCCATAAATGCAACAGTCGTGAACATCAATAAATGCTTCTGAATCCTACGGTCTTGGTCCTCTGTTGTCATTGGCCACACTTTCCTGGCCAAATGCAACAGACCAAGTTGGTGTGTGTACAAGTAGTCCTCCACAGGGCTTTGCTTTGCACATGGCTGGCTGGTGTTCAGTCTTTTGGAGGTAACATTTGGCCAAAAAGGCCACAACATGTGACCAAAGGTCGAGTAAATTTGTTAGATTTGATGGGCATTTGATGCTCTGTCTCTGAAATTTTCTTTTTTCTTTTTTCTTTTTCTTTTTGGCGTCACAAAAACTCGCAATGGGTGCACCAATCCATGACCAGGCAGAGAGATTTTCGTGTCTCTGTGTGGTACGGTGTACCCTTGCACGGTGCACGCTCTCTCTCTCTCTCTCTCTCTGCTTTACGCTTATAAATATTAACATTCTGACCTTAACCTCACTGCCTACAGCAGCCCTCTTGTCCGCTTCTCAGTGGATACAGAGATTTTTTAGGAGCAGCGGTTATTCCTCCATTGAAGGAATCTACTTTTAGCTACAATGGTGGAGGCTCAGAGCAAACCCATGAATGGGGTTAATGGGATCCATAACCACAACAAACAAGATGAAGCTGATTTTGACCCAAGTGCCCCTCCTCCCTTTAAGATAGCTGAGATCCGCGCTGCCATTCCCAAACACTGTTGGATCAAGAATCCATGGAGGTCTATGAGTTATGTCTTCAGGGATTTGTTTGTGATATTTGCAATGGCATCTGCTGCCATTTACTTGGAAAGTTGGTATCTTTGGCCAGTTTACTGGGCTGCTCAAGGAACCATGTTCTGGGCTCTGTTTGTTCTTGGACATGATTGGTAATTTTATCACTTTCTCGCATCTACATTTTTTTACGTTTTTTCTTGCTTGTTATAATTTGGCATGAACTTTGGGTACCAGATTGTGTATGTATATATGTTCTCTGTTTCTAATGTAATTTGTTTTGGATTGAATAGTGGCCATGGAAGCTTTTCAGATAGTCGAACGCTGAACAGTGTTGTGGGGCATATTTTGCATTCTGCAATTCTTGTACCTTATAATGGCTGGTGGGTTCCTCATAAACTTCTTTGCTTCAATCCATACATCAAATGATTTTTTTTCCTTCTCTGTTTGAGCTCATATTATTAATATCTTTAGATTGTCTTTTGAAAATGTTGTTGATGTGTGTGATTTCTACAGGAGAATCAGCCACAGAACTCACCATCAGAACCATGGACATGTTGAGAATGACGAGTCTTGGGTTCCTGTAAGTGCTTCTCTTAATTCACACTGCTCCTTCCATTTTTAATTTTGATTTTATTTTTATTAGTCCCAATGCTTGCTCTTACTTTGCATTAATGTAAGAACTAGTTCTGATGTTTTAATTAGTAGTTAACATGTTTGTGTTTTGCTATGTTTGCTAGCTGACTGAGAAGGTTTATTCAAGTTTGCATGAAAGTACAAGAAAATTCAGATTCAGAGTGCCATACCCCATCTTTGCATACCCTTTCTATCTGGTGAGAAAACCCATCTTTTATTGAACAAACGTCTTCATGCTTAGATTCAAAATTGTGAGTTTCTGATGGTTCATGAAGCCTAAGGTTTGCTTTTTTTTTCTGCTGGGTTGCCTTTCAGTGGACTAGAAGTCCAGGAAAGCAAGGTTCTCATTTCAATCCTTACAGTGGCTTGTTTGCCCCAAATGAAAGGAAAGATGTGATAACTTCAACTGTTTGCTGGACAATGATGGTTGCCCTGCTCCTCTATCTGTCCTATGTAGTAGGCCCTGTCCAAATCCTCAAGCTCTACTGTGTCCCTTACTGGGTGAGCTCAATTTTAATATCTTCATGATAATTACGGCACCTGCAGACAGTTCATTTTTCCTAATTTTATACTTTCACTTGCAGATTTTCATTATGTGGATTGATTTGGTCACCTATTTGCATCACCATGGTTACGATCAAAAACTTCCCTGGTACCGTGGCAAGGTAAAATGATACATGGAACTCAACTATATTGATACTTGGATGTTAACTCACATGCTGCAAGTGAAGAATTATTGTACTTAAAATTTGGAGATGTTATCAGAAGGGTTAATGAAATAAGAAGCTTTCTGTCCTCTCATGGTTTTCATTATGCAGGAATGGAGTTATCTACGGGGAGGCCTCACAACCGTTGATCGTGATTATGGAATGTTCAATAACATCCACCATGACATTGGCACTCATGTGATACATCATCTCTTCCCTCAAATCCCACACTATCACCTAGTGGAAGCTGTATGTTACTAACCTGTTCTTCCTTAGACAAATTTATCACTTGTTCAGAATTTACAATTGCAATATATTAGCTAGCAGTAATTGATGGTAATTCTAATGCTGCCATTCACATGCTTGTATTGCAGACCAAGGCAGCCAAGCCAGTTCTGGGAAAGTACTATCGGGAGCCAAAGAAATCTGGACCATTTCCGGTTCACTTGATCGATAATCTAATGACAAGCATGAGCAATGATCACTATGTTAGTGACACTGGAGACATTGTATACTATCAGACTGACCCTAAGCTTTTCAAAAGTCTTAAGAGCAAGTCTAGTTGATTTTGTTTTTTGGTTAGCTCAATTGAGATGGCAGATATGAATTGTGTTCTGTATTGCATTATCTGCTGAAAAACCTTGAGAAGGATAGCTGTATTTGATGATTTGTTAGTTTCTAGCAAATAAACATGTTTTTGTCAATTTTGTTTTGAGTATTTTGTTCTAGCTTCTGAGTTTTTGACAGTGGAAATCTATATAGGTAGATGAAGTGGCTACAGGATAACAATTCATATCTTATGCAAACACTTAAATTGCATTAGCCCCCTAAGGCTAAAGCCTAAAATCTTCATATCAAATTTCAGAGTTATGAATAAGCATAGATGATGCCAACGGGGTTGGAGTCTAACTCAGTGGAAAAGGGCATTGAGCTTGACTTGCAGACAAGAGGTCTTAAGTTTGAACCCTCATGGCATCATAGTTGTGTGTGTGAGAAATCTCTCTCCCTTATAGTTTAGACTATCGCTTGTACTAAAAAAAATAAATGAGCATGGATACCTTGAGATCAATAAGTCTTGAGTCTGGGCTGAGCTGGGCTAGGCTGGATCAAGAATTAGAGATTCATAATGTTATTGGCACACAAGCGCGTGGATAGAGTAATAAAAGAATGAAGACTCTTCAGAATGATCGTATTTCTTATATATTTGAAATGAACGCATTTTTAATAAGATAAAAAGGGGCAGATTCAATTAATGAATAATAAATTATGATAAATTAAAAATCTGAGGCTCTTGGACTCTTTGGATTTCAAAATGATAATAGAATGAATTAGAATTACGGTTAGAATCATAAACTGTGTTTGGTGGGTCGGACTGGATTAGTTAGGATTGGGCTTAAGGTATTGAACTGGGCTGGATTTTAAGTCCTATGAGATTTTTCCGTAGAGCACTAGACTGATCCAGTCCGTTGTTTGGTACAAGGCTGATCTGGTCAACATTGGACTTCATTTTTTTTTCAAAACTAATTTGACTGTTTATTAGATTAATATCAGATTATTATTATTATTTTTAAAAACATGCACACACAATTAAAAATAAACTGAAATAGTTGCAACCCGTCCAAAGAAATTATGCACAATCCTAAACACAAAATATATTTATAAAGCAGAATTTAATGCATTAATAATAACCACAAAAATTCTCTTAAATACATTCAAATGATCCAAAAATACTTATGTTGCTTTATTTTTCATCCACTCATTAAACATCTCATTAGCCAAATTATCCCTCCATGCAGACGATTGATAGGATGAGGCAATGGTATCAATAGTGCCATGAGCTACATTGTTCTCATTGAGGGGATCATAATGGATTTCTTGCTCCATTAAGTCTATAGACATTTCCCTCTTAATTAAGTTGTGTAAAAGACAACAAACCGTTATTATTTGGCATTGTGTTTGTATTTGATAGAACGATGGGCTCCTTAAGATTGCCCAACGAATCTTAAGAAGTCCAAAACAATGTTCCATCATGTTTCTTGTTGATGCATGCTTCATGTTAAAGTATTCTCGATGGTTCAATGGTGCACATCCTTCTCCCCATTCTGATAAGCGATATCGTGTGCCTCTATAAAGAGCAAGAAACCCCTCACAATTTGTGTAACCCCAACATCCACAAGGTAATAATAACCTAAACAATATATAAAAATAAAAGCAAATAAATAAATAAAAAAAGATCCACAAGGTAATAATAACATATTGTACGTTGTATCTACATTAATCTTGTTTGTACCATAGCTGATACCACTCACCTCATGACATGTGGAAAGAATACAGAGTTAGGAAACATTCTGGCTCACCAATAGATCGGTTAAAGGTACGAATCGGCATAGGTGACCGATTCATCACAAGGCGTAGTTGTCACCCGCTGATCGGCTTACGCTCCCGGAAGCTCCTAAGACGTAACGATCGGCACTCCATGCTGATTATACGAAAGGATCTCGAAAAGTCCCCACTGATATTTTACGGACTTGTGTCGACCTCGGAGAGCACTCCTATGAGTCCCACATTGAAACTAAGTACTAAGAACATCCCAAATGCTCTCTATAAATAGGACCTCTTGCCCTAGACAAAGGGTAAGATCTCTCAACTTGATTTACGCTATAAATACTTGCTTAAACAAAGAATTATCCCCCAAACTTACTTTGCCATCGGAGGGTCTTGAGCTGATACCACACCGGTACTCTTGATCTCATCCATTATTTCTCTTCTTAGCCGAAAACAGAGCATCATATCTCACAGTGCTGCATGCTCACATCAAGGGTCCACCAGGCCGAATCATCACATCACCTATAAGTTACCTATATCTCTATCTGTTTAGTTTTAGGCAAACAAATCTTACTTATTGGATAACCCATGTGGCCTAGATATCGCATCTCAAAATACTCTAGAGTCGAATGTTGAACCCCCCCAACCCGGTAAGACAAATATAAACCTCATATCTCGAGAACAAACTCTTAATACATTAGTGGCAGTGCCACATTTTCTTGTTCAATATCTTGGCTTGTCAACATCGAGCTCATGTCCCATCTAAAGGACCCAAGCAATTCTATATAAACAAAACATAGATATTTCAAGTAATGGAACAAAATTCCATATAAACATACAAACAAAACTAGTTCGCAATTAACACTTGAATATGAACATATAAACATACCTCAAACTATTTTCATATTTCCCTCAGTGCAATCATTAGGCACATGATCTGACACTCTTAATAAAATCTCATGTAGCCTCAGGACAACATTTAGAACTGAATTGAAGTACCTACTCACCTTCTCACCAGATCTACCGAACGTATCATGAACCGTACAATTTTTTACATGATGGGCAAGAATATATGAAAACATACAAACTTGCTCCTCAATGACCACCGAACCATACATCTTCCATGAGTACGAAGTAATTCGCACAACATGCCAAATGTTTTTCTATCCATTCGAAGTTCATTCACACACATTATATCACTATGTCCTATAAATCTACCTAGAACACTCAAACGAGTCTCATACTTAATAAAAGTTCGGTTCTTAAGATAGTACTTTTCATAGTACCATGTTGTCAAAGCATATATGACAGTTACTAACATCATGGATGCATACAAATGTTGTTTCTCTAACTCTGTTGCAACTAGAGTTGTCATAATCTTCCTCTTTTTCTTTCGATCCGTGTCTATCATGCCATTAATAATATTGGCAAGAACAAAATCATAATCTGTGACTTTATTTTTTATACTCGAACATAAACCGATTCTCACATTATATGAAACAACACGGAAATGGATTATCACTAGGCAGATTAACAAACAAGTTTCACCCAAATTCATTTCATCAGAAAGACAGTATATTTTAAGCACCCACCTAAGACATTTCATATATACTGATATTTTAGGCTTTTTACTCTTCCAATAGACAAAGCTTCACAGTCAGTAGTTGATAGCAAAACTGTGAATCAGATCTAACATAAATAACTCCAACATAATTTATTTACGAGGCTCAAGAAGCTTGAGGAGCTGCAACAAATTGAAATATACTCATTTGGTCGAAAACAAAAGTTTAATGGTGATTTTAAAATAATGGGAAACTCAGAACAGTAGGCAAAACAAAAGTTTATCCTTCATTTGGATAAAGGATTTGAAAATTACATAGAATTCTAAAATGACGGAATTTAAATTTCTATCATTTCAATTTTTGGCAAATTTTTTTTTTCAGTGTTTGGATTTATATATGTTGACTCCTATTTTGGTGGAAATTAAACTCGGAAATTTAATGCTCAAATTTCCACGCTTTTTCTGCACGTCATTTAATAAATTTCATGCTTAAGTTGACAAACAATGGAATTGTTAATTTCTTCTCTTAAATTCCCAACTTTTAGCTAAATTCCGAATTATTTTCTCCCATCCAAACGGAGGGAAGGATTTTTACTGGGCAAAATAGAAAGGCACCGATCAAAAGAGTTTCCGATTGCAATAACAAAATGAATCAACTCAAATCCTTCGTAGAGAAAGTAATCAAATTACAAACACAGCCAAACAGCTCATACATATGAGATGCAGAGAGAAGTGAGACTTTGTCTATCCTGCTTAGTATAGACTTTGTTTATAAATATTGAAATGCAATAGATAATCACAAAAATAACTGAGAATGCAGTGACATCAAATATCCCGCTAACTGCTACCAAATCTAATGCCAACTTTCTAACAAGCAAGATCATTTTGATATCATTGAAGAACACGTGAGAGACATCCACCAATTAGTAAAGTTAATTACCTTATCAATTCACCAAGAATCAGAGGAATGATAGCAATTTGAAAGGTCTACCAACAATCAGTAATTGCTGCAGCAATGAAAATACTTGTTGTAGCACTAGTTCCCTACTGACTATCTAGGACAATAAATGGAAATGCTCGCCAAATGAAAATGCATCCTAATCAAACTCTGCAGTAATCTAGAGACTGAAAGTAGAAGTCTAATACTGAAGTTCTAATTTTGAGAGAGAGAGAGAGAGAGAGAGAGAGAGAGAGAGAGAGAGAGAGAGAGAGAGAGAGAGAGAATTTGGAAAAATAATCACATGTGTGTTTATGTACACTTCTCCAGAGTCCCACAATAACACATTAAGGAAAAATAATCATAAACAGCAAATTGCTTAGCATTTTTGTGATTATCAGTACTCTAGGAAAAATAATCATATGTGTGTTGTCCATGTGCTAACTTGATGAATACTAATTTAAGTGAATATGCTTCTACTTCCAATGCTATATCATGTTGCCCACATAAATTGTAAAAGTTCAAGCCCTACAGTCCACCTCCTCTACAGAAAAAATAAAATAAAATACCCAACCATTTGATAAGAAATTCCATTATACATGAAACCTATTTGTTTTGCTACACACTGTGTTGGGTTCCCCTACTAATCCGAGGGCATAAGCGTGCTTAATGCAAATTCACAACACATACTAAATAGCAATGAATATACTACATCATCTTGCACACCTAGCTTAGTTTCGGTCACAAAGTAATTAGTTTGATCCCCTGCTAAGTTACAAGCACACACTATGAAGCTCTCGGCCATGAAATCCTATTTGTATGCAATTAAACGTTGCAATAATTGCATCAGAAATTGTCTCCAATTTCAACATGTATGTACT